TATCGATATTCCGGGGTTATCATGAATTATCAATTGGGTTATCATTCCTGATCTAGAAAATTGGTATTTTTTTCAGGGCCATGAATTGGATAACCGGACGGTGGTCTTCCAGAGCACATTTGGCCATGGCCTTGGCCTATTTGATGGTATCAGAATGTGTTGGAACAAACTTACCCTCTGGTGTTGACCAACATAGATATTGAAAATGACCATAGAAATAGTTGATTTACCCATGAAAAATGGTGATTTTGCATAGTCATGTAAACGTTTACTAGAGGGTAGGTTTGTTATACACATATAGTAAACCACTTAAGTTGTAAGAAACTTATGAGGGTAAGTTTGGCCTCGTTGTTTGGTGAAGCTATATGAAACAACCGAGCTCATATATGTAAGTTTGTGTTTTTGTCCTCTCATCATCATGATATTTTCTAGAATTATATATTTTTTGGGGGCCTCTCATTTCACCTTGAAATATTGATCATTTGTCCGTTAATTGAGTTTGTGTTGTTACCTGCAGGTTTCGCCGCCTAAATAGTCATGAAGGCTGGTTGCCCCTGTTGGCGAGCCTATCGTTTCTGCAGAGTCCCCTCCTTTCTTGTGGACTAGATTAAATGTTTGTTGGTGATGCTATTCATGTTCAGCTTACATGATTGTTTGTCTCATTTTGGGGCCAGTAGAACAACATGTTTGGGGTAACAGAATGATAAACCCTAACACAAGGTGTGACCCTGAATGTGGAATCCGAACTCTATAAGCGAGAATTTTCAGTTGGAACTGGTCTACAAGAATTGGACAATCATGGGTGTAAAGCAGAAGAGTACCTTTTACGCTGTGTCGATGAGTATGTCGCAGCGAATGGTTGCGTCAATGTTGCTAGCTGGGAGGATGCGTCCTCCTCGCCTCCGGGGGACCCGAATGCAGGCTTTCGTTCCTTTGGACTCACGAAAGCAGAGGTAGCGCATTTGAATCTTGAACAAGCGAAGATATATGCGCACAAGGTACAAATTGGAGCATATATCCTGTCGAGGAGAAATTGCCCACGAGTCGCGTAGCCAGATGGTGAGGACGGATTTGGTAGAAGATGCATATGGTAGACTGACATATGATTTCGACCCCAAGAAGACTTACAAGTCGAGAACTGTTTTCAATGTTCCGCATCCACGATTGATTCGAGAAGCTAGAGTCGGTCGCTCTGTGCTGAGGCTAAGATGCAACCAGGATTTTGCAATTGTACCACTCGGGGGATGTGAAAGGTCCTCTGGATGGTTGGTAGTGACTCCCTTCCATATATATATATACATATGCATATACATATATATATATTGGTTTATCTTTACATGAGACATTTCACTGCCCATTTAATTCAGTCTGAAATGGATGCACCCATGGTCAAAAGTCTCAGATGGTGTGTTTTCCCACGTTTTTTCCTGTCTATTTGGCCCTCCCCAAAGAGTCTCAGTTCGCTTGTGTGTATTGGGCTCTTCCCAAAGAGAATCAGTATTGCAATAGAAACAAAGACTGACTTTTCGGAAGTGAATTCGAAATTTTGCCTGATGTGGGAAGAAAGTGATGATTTTGCCAGATGTATTGAACTGATGGGGTTGGGGTTCTGGGGGGGGGAGGTGAACACATACTCTATATATATATACACATTATATTTATACCCATATTTTTTGTTTACATACCACCAATTTTGGATAAATCCTTTATTGCTAGTTGTTTTGGTGCTTAAGGTATTTTTTTACAAAGTCTTCAGAAAATATATGTTTTAGCATGGACATGTAAATCGATAAAATCTGAATTATTGCTATATATATATATACACTGACCACCAAAAAGATAGAACAGTTAGTTTATGACCGTTTTAGTTTCGGCTTTTGGCTGTTCTACCGTTTTTGCATTTCTTGTAGATGAAACTGCCATTGAATCAGCGGCAGGATGCCACCGTTGAGCAGCTCCGCGAGAAGTTGGACGAAGCCATGGGCGATCAAGAAAGGCGCTGAACTGAAAAAAGGGGGTGGCAACCAACAAGAATTACTGCAGAAAGGGACCCCAAACAGTTTGGGGACAATTGTGATTCAACATGATTTGGCATGATAGAGTACGCCAAAATGGTGATTTGAGAGCCATTTGCTAGAGAGTCAACCAATCCAACTGTGGACTTACCAGATTTAATCAGCCAAAAATGGTGATTCAACCTGCATTGGTAGCGGGTTTGCTACCAGACCAACAACACATGAGAATTTACCCAGCCTAAATGGGGATTTAACTCATCGAGCCAGCAACAATCAAGAAATTTGCATATACAAGGAGCAAAATTCAGACACGTGGGGGTTTAGAAGGAAACATCAAATTCCAGACATTGTGGGGGTGGCCTTTGGACTTGGGATGTATAGGCATCGACAGTTTATAGTTTTTTCATCACTAGCGATGTTCTCCACAATTGGTCAATGGTGATTGTTTGGCGATTGTTGGGATTTATTCATCACTTGGGATTTTATTCTCCGAAGAATCATGGTTTTACTCAATCACCATTGACAAATATGACCAACCCCATGCGAGGGGACCATAGGCGAACGTGCCTGTGTTCTCTAGGAAACTAAAACGAATCATTTTGGGGCCCATCTTGGACACCAATCTTTACAGAAAGCGGTTTTGGTATTCAAGATAGTGCATTATGTCGGGATGACTGTTGAGGGCAGCTAAGCGGTTGGTAATTTATATAACGCAAGGCGGCGGCCCGGGATCAGAACAGTTATCCACAAGATATGTTTAATGGTGTTTTTTTCAAGCATACTATCTGGAGACCTTGCAAAGGTAGGAGGTCCACGAGTTCGAACAAAGACTCGATTGAAATTTGGACTAGATCTTTCTGGTGAACTGCCCGAACCTGCAAAGTGGTTGACAGCGAGGAGGTTGTTTTTCAGGGTACATTATTGCGGGTCAAATCTATGACCCGACCAAAACTGCCTCAAATTTACTCAGTATTTACTCAGGTTGAGGGGTGTTCATGTGTGGTCTCTTAGGTCTTTTGACTTGAATACATGTTTGATTATTTAAGTCGTATGGATCTGAAATTTTAAGTTTACAGTTATATTGCCCACTTTATATCCCTTCACCTTTTATAGAACCTACATTACATGTCATTGTACTCAGATGGGTTGTGGTCAAATGGTGACTGGAATCCGTTGACATAATTGAAGGTACTACTGACACTTACATCTTCAATTTTCTCAATATAAAGAGGCGGTATTCAATAAACAACTAGTATTTGGGTATTGAATAAACAACTTCTACCCGCACTGTTGGTACCGCAAATGTTTCAGGTACTTTAGGGCCCAAGGTTTAGTCATTTCGATTTTGCTAGATGCTAACCTTCGTTGAGGATGTCTTAATTTGAACTCCCCTTGGTTAGAGTGTGGCAGATCCCAAACATCAATGCGCTAAGAGCGCCAAGCTAAACTGCGGAATCCTTGGGTAGCTCTCTCTTCTTACTGGTGCTTAGCAGGGAATGAGGGAATAATCCACAATAATAATGATCATCCCATTCCCCCAGTCCCATCCATTCCCTACGTTTAGCACCAGTAAGTCTTGCTATGGAATCCCAAAAGAACTGGATTTGGAAGGTGTTGTGATTTGATGTGATTTGGATGTGGCCATACGTGGCTAATGCAACTAGAACTCCCACTTTACCCCTTTCTCGTTCGCCATCATTCACCACGTGCCATTGACGCCCCCTTTTCCATCCGGTAATCAAACATGACAATAGGACATCCCCCATTTAGTTCGATGATTTTAGAACCATTTCCTTGTGGATGTTCCCATTTCTAGCGGATTTTCCCATTCAAAGCCCCAAAAAAATCGGTGATTTCCCACGGCCTTTTTTTTGGGGCTCGGCTCGCCGTAGCCACCGCCGCAGCGCCCGCAGATCCGCGTACCGCATCATGTTTAACGACGTCTCTTTGGTGGATCCACAGCAATCGCTGCAAGCGCAAGGGATCAAGGATTTGGCCAAGGTGAGATTCTCAGGGGATGTGCTTGGGGCAATAAGGAGCTTCCTTGATTCTGAAGGGCTGAAGAGCAGGGTGATAGATATTCATATATATATATACATATAAAGGCTAAAATCCGAGTTCAACAGATCAAATCTGGGATGTCTCTTGAAATCATTTGTGTTGCTTTCTTTTGGCATGAGCAAGACACAGCTTGGCTAGTGTGCAATCCAAAGCCGATGGTCTTATATCCCGAACTTTCAGTTACATCTCTTCAATCTCACTTAGAATATCTCTCCAAAAACTGGTGACCTTGCAATTTTGATGTGCTAAGCAACACATGATTTTGGAGTATCTCGATCGCCGCCACGCGATGCATTGACCTCGGTGGAGCACCGAGGTCAACGTTGTGAAGGACTGGCACCTTGCGAAACGCCAATGGCACCAAGATATGTATTTGAATCTACATGTGTCAGGCAACTCCCTGCAAAATTAGACACAATAAAATAATATTGCTAAAATACTGGCAACATATGATGGCAACGTGTTTTTTTGTTCTGCGTGTAAAATCATCGGTGCATATAGTATGTATATATATAATTATATATATATATATACATATATGTATTTATACATATATATATATGTTGATTTTAATCATCTGTACAATATATGTAATGATGCAGTTATATTTATTATTTATACAGTATATATGTATAGATGCGTATAGATGTGTAGATTTGTGTTCATTTGATGCGCATATGCACACACCAGTTGTACAACCCGTGTGTGTTGTGGGTGACATGGTTACCCGACGGTTACATACCCGGAAAAATACCGTGTCACAACCAGGAAGATCCTCCTTTTACCGAATACAGATGGGTCGTGATGGACTACGAAACTCGGTTGGTGGTTGGTGGTTTACAAGACGATGTGGGCGCTAGGAAAAATCCAACAAAATATAAAAGGTACAGAACATGTGTTATTATACCCACCATTTCGGGACTTTTGCCCATTTTCATGGGTAGTACTTGGAGGTTCTAGGTAAATTGTTGTTAATCATGGTTTAAATGTGTATATATATATATATATATTTATATAATATGTTTACAAGTCGCATAAAGGGCCGCACTTACCACTAGGATATGTGGACTAGCCATTCAATCGGATGTATATCCGGTAGTCGTCTTTTCAAAGACATCAGACAATCCCAGCACCGTATCACAGGGACTTCTTTTTGCTGCGCGCATTTGGGCCCATGGGGGGGCAGATGTTGATGAACACTGCGTGGGTAATGTGGTTCTAGCTCTAGCTGTGAATGGTTCAAACACTCAAGGTGGCAAATATGGATCCCAACTGAGCATTTTTCATCAAACAATATACATAAGATCATGATCCATTACTACCAAACCAAATTTCTGGGTCGAGGTCTAGGCCATATCCCTTTGTTTGATTCGCTTTATCGTGGCATTCCCCTTTGTTTGATGTTTGACATTTGCAAGGTTTCACATCAAGTCAGATCATGGGAATTTGCGTCTCCTCGTCCAATGATTCTTTCAATTTCTCTTGTGGCACAGGACAACTGATTTGAATGTATTCGTTTTTTGGCATTTGTCTGACTGCCAAAAGCAATGGACCGATTTCATAAATTTCCTCGTGAATTCATTCAACATAAATATTTCACAGATCCAAGCAAAATCAATGAGGAAGTATTACGTTGACCAGTATCTTATCCATGCAGTTGAAGTGGAAGAGACTTAGTCTTCCGACTTGTTTGCGTTCAGCAACCAGTTAGTTGCGAGTGTGAGTTGAAATGTGAGACCCGCAAAGTAAGTTTTGAGTATCACGCTTGGTGTCACCCAAAAACTCATCTTCCGCTTAAGTGTCAGATAGGTAACCAACTCCAAACTCATGAAATAAGATCATACTGATCACGAGGTACTGGTAACTGGAAGGCAGAGTAAACACATGTTTAGGTGTGCTTAAGGTTATCCCATCCCCAGCCAAGTCGGCATGTTTGTGGGGATTGCAATTCCCACGTGTAACCCCTCCCAATCATAGCAGGTTAAGATTCACCCAATAGAACAAACATGTTTCCCTATTTCAATACATGTGAAATATTATTAAACAACAACATAAACTCAAACACTATCGGTGGTGGTGGTGGTGGTGGTCCTGGTGGTCCTGGTGGTCGTGGTGGTTGTGGTTGCAAATGTTGTTGTTTTTTAACCTTCCCATGCAAACGGATGATGATCCCAATTGACTACATTATATTTTTGAGGGTGGCTCATAAGACTCATAAGCTTGATCTTTCCGGTTGATAGGCTTCGTCCGGTTGGGGGTTCCTGACATCGGGTTACCCCAGTTATCATCCATTTTATGTTTGGATATTCCATGAAATAAACATTTATAAATAAATAAACCATCCAGCTATTGGCGTACCCATGACTTAGGAAACCGCCCCAATGAACCATGGTGATTCCAAGGATGCCCGGGAAGAGATGCAAGGCTATTTACCGTTGACCGAAGGCCAAGTGGTTCGAGTCTGCCCTGCGACTTGGTAATTACACGCCTGGTTTTGAAGCCCTGTTTGGAAGATTTTGCCACTGTACCAAGATGTTCCTTTAATGTACGTAGCAAGTAGTTTAGTGGATAGTAAATAAACTTTTTGACTTCGCAAAAAACAGGTGGATATATGACATACATAGTAAGTTGCATGTATATAGCTCACTGTATGAAACGGCATTTCACCAGTTTCTCCAGATCATCCCAGATACACTTAGTTCCCTCAGGTTCAGGTGCTGATGTCCATGTTTTGTGCATGGGTAAACCCAGCCAATCAAACCAAATGTTTGACATCCGGGTATATATATATACACATCCCTTTTGCTACATGTATAAAATGGTTCCCAACATTAATCAAACAAATGACCCCAATCTTGGTGAATATTCCCCAACATGGAGCTTATGGGACGTAGTTACATGTTCTGGATACATTTGGAAAAACTCACAGCGCGACCTCAGATAGATTATGGTGAGGATTAGGGTAACTATCGCAAAACGGCCACATGTTTCAGTTCAAGTGGTGAAATATGTAGCAATTCAGCCAGACATGCAACCAGATGTAAGATGTTAGCGTTCCTTGCATGCTTGCACGTCTACGGGGAACTGATGGTGGTGTTATGCTCTGTTTTTGTCAACGTGCAACAAGTCTTTGAGGACAGTGAAGCCCCCATTGATCCCTCGACGAGTTTCTTGGTTTGGGATTGAAGTCGGTGGATGGTGAAAGCCTGTCGAAAAAAATGCCAAAGAGTCAGCAGGGGAAATCCAAAAAATGGTTTGATGGTTGATGAACTCGACATGAATCAAATAAGAATTGGAGGGGATTACCCGGTTCCGCACCGAGATAGATCTAAACTGATTGCATTGATTATTTTTTGATGGGCAGTGAATTTGTGGAATGTTTAACAACCTGCAACAATACGATTACCCGCATCTCTGCAAACATTCGAAACATGGAAAAACATAAAAACAATAGGATGAATGAATGAATTCGGTTCATGTTTGGGATGACCAGAACGATATCAAAATGTTGACATGTCCGACGTTTTTTTTTGAGTAAAAATAGGCACGCCACTGTTTGCGTCATAACAACATATGGGGATAGACCAAAAATTGAAATGTGTACTCTAACAAGTGGATGGCGGGCGTTGAAACTGCATCAACATGTTTATATACATTTTGTGTTTCCCTTGGGTGACACTTTTACCCATAAACATGCATACCTCGTTTCAACATGTTTTAACTATGATTGGTGATTGGTGCTATTGAAACCACAATGAAACAACTTAAAGCAGTTCCTGAGAGTAGGGGCAGGGGAGCGGTGTGTCTTCAGGTACTTGCTCTTGGCCAGGTCTTTTTGTAAAAAACAATCATAGCTGTGTTTTTGACAACAAATCCTGTCCAAGAGCCGCCCCTCAATTCTTCACAGATATTGCAGCACCAAAAATATTCATCTCCAAAGGCCCCAGGTTTACAATTCTTCGTTATTCTTGTATAATATTAGAACAAATATATAAATAACATGTGTGTTCTCATGAGAATCTAACGTGATATATGAATATCAAATTTAGATAAATTCAATCAATGCTAAGTTTCGCTAAACACGTCGTGGTTTGGTTGTATCCCCCTGGGGATGGTGCGGATGCTAGTTCCCTTGCCCAAGCCTCCCGCTGTGCTGAGAATGGAGATGCACCTATGCGTCTTGGAGTGTTTTGCGTGGGATGTTGAACAGTTCGATCGGGTACCTTCTGTAGCCAAAAAAAATGTTGGTTGTGATAGATTGCAATTACGGGGTGGAAAGGAAATTTGTTCGGTTGTTTTACCGTTGTCAGTACTGGCTAAAACTTTTCTGATGGTCATGTCATCTTAAATACCGATTTTTTGCCTGGTTCATGTTGGTTCTTTACCTGTGTCTAGAAGTAATACAACGGACATAGGTTTCATCAATCAACTGCTACCTTCCGACACCATCAGATCAGAATGCCACAGTTTGTTGCGTGAAAGATCAATATTTTGACAATCTCACTTGGACGACTCGCTGGTTAAAGAACTTGGCCATGACAATTGTCCTATCAAGCTACAGGGGCTACAGAAAGGCACGGGTCACCAACATGGCGACATGACTTGGATGTGAATCAACAAGTAACAGTTAACGCTAACAATGTTGCTAAATGGATACACATCTAGAATACTCCAAATGCATAACATAGAAATTTGAACAAAGAACATCAAAGAACCATGTTTTTTTTGGCAAAATCATCGGTCGCTAACTGGGCGATTTTCCAGTCTGCCATGTTTGCCGAGGTCTTTGGATATCCGCTGGATGGTCCCAAGGACGATGATCATGGCGGCTGGATGCCCACTGAAGCGCTTGCGGCACAGAAAAAAAAACGCAGTGGAGATGAATCAGAGATAAAATGCCCTGTGTTTGGGATGAACAGTGATGAACATCCACATTTCTTTTACTAGCTATATCTAGCTATAGTTTATATTTTTTGTGTGAACTACAGGGTATCAGATGTAGCAGGGTAGACCCATAGCCAAGTGGGCACCTCGAAAGTGAAGGAGAACTATCCAAATTTATGGCAATCTAATGGGGAATATATAGGAATATGATGGAATATGATGATTCACCAGTGGACTTGGAGAGTGGCCGACACACCGGCCGACACATCCTTATTTTTTTCAATGGGATCTAAGGAGAAGTGGGAAGAAATGCCCGACATTATCTGAAAAACCTTCTGTCAATAAGAACCTGAAAATCCAACTTGGTCTATGCAAACATCATGTTTTTTTGTGTATTGTTTTCTTTGCTATGTTCGCCTACCAAGGGATAGCTGTAACTTTCGGGATCATCGTAGTTTGTGTCCATATGACTTTAATGCATGGCCGCTGCATCTCTGGTGGAAGGTGATTCATTTTTCATGGAGCAGTGAAGGGAATTACCAGTCACGATGCTGTCTTCTCAAAGAGGGTAACCGAGTAAACATGAGTAAAGCCCTGTAATACTCCCAGAAACCATTCTCGGATAGGAAAACCACATATTTGTATGTTAAAAGTTCCCTAATGTTGATGGTTAAATACCCAAAATATTCCCAGATAACATGAGAACACCACTAATATTTGGAACCATGGGGCCATGGGGCTTTTCTTTCTTTAAAGGGTCGACTTCGGGGGGAGGATGACATACTCCCAATAGACTTGACCCCCGATCCAATACATTGCGCCAGGCCAACCGATAGTGGTAGAGTTAAACCAATGGAAAAGATGTTGTTTAAGCAAAGAATCATCGGTTCCTGTCGGATTTTCAGAGGGGCTGCCAGAAGCAAATGCTATGCGGCAGCAAGGTGACATGATGTCACTATGCTGCATGGTCTTAAAAATCATTTCAGCCTTTGCCTTCAGGACTCACTGGCTCGAACATGGCGAATAAATTGTTTCGCTTCTCAGCTCCAAATTTCGCATCCCTCATTTCCAACTGTTCCGAGTTGCAGTGTTTTTTTTGTTTGAACGAGCTATCAGTCGTTGTTTCAACTTTATGATCTTTATTAATTAGTACAGTATGTACAGTACTGCATGTGAGACATGTAGCCCAAATGCTAGCAGCGAAACGTCGCAACTAACTTCTGCCGGTGCAATCAACCTTCCGCCGCGCGAGAAATACCCGTTGCTGTGCCGGAGGCGGCATGTGGCAGTTGTTTCCCAACCCTCGAAGATGACTTCTAGATGGGGCAAGTCGGCAGATGTCTGCAGATGTGGATGTGTTTTTTGTTTGCATATTTTTTCTTTCAGGATTCTTACCATGGCACCATTCATGATTTTGGCAAGGTTTGGAAATTCATTTCATCCTGTCTGCTGGGTTGGTGCACCTGGGATAAGTGGGGCATCGGTCGGAACACAATGAAAAATCATGAAAACTAAAAAGAAAGCAGTGCTTTGATCACATTTGCGAATTGCATGGTTGGGATTTTGCTCTAGGTTTACCTTCAAACCCACATGATATAGAACATTTCCAGGATTGTGTCAGTTTTCAACACTTGTATAGAAGTGTAAAGAACCCATCCCACATGTCTTGAGAATCATGTTGTTCTTTTGATCCGATTTGTGTTTTCGACTTGCGCTTCACACCAAGCTTACTAAGAGCGTAACAATGCTTCTCTAAGTAGTTTCAAAATTGTACAATCAAATGCATACCAATACCATCCAATAACTATCATGATCACATCCTGCGTCCAATAGTGACCACAGGCACCCTTGGCACCATGTACAAGTTCAAGGAGATTCAAACCATACCGCCAGCAAAACAGCTGGTGGATATTGTGTCTTGGCGATCCGAGGGTTGAATTTATCACCGAGAAAAAACGATACAAAACTACAAAACAATCTTGAACAGTCCATTAGTACCATTAGTGTCCCAGTTATGAGCCATAGCAATGTCTTCCTCAATCACAGATTGTCAGTGTTGGAAACCACGAATAACTGGCAAAGCTTCACCTAATTAATGTTTTTGCGAATCTCCACCATGCTTGGCTTGGTTTGTATCTCCCCAGATTATTTCTTCTTTCAACATCTTTCAACTATTTCAGGAAGCGCCCCAGTTTTCATGGTAAAACACCAGAATCACAGCGATTTTGGGCCCCCAAAAGAACCACCCGAGCTCCCGCCGTCCGATCCGTCCGTGGGTTCTCCAAGGTGCTCTCGAAGACCCAACGCAAGACACCCACAGTGGTGCATCCAGGCAGGTGGCGGTGGTGCCCCCAGGTCCGAATTGCAAAGTTGGTAAACAGTTCACTCCAATAGTTGTTGGATTGGAAAGATAGATACACCACTCAAATTTCATATGAAACCTTCAAAATCGGGTCTAGATGATTTTCTTAAGGGATTCCATGCTTAAATAAGTGGTACATATAGTGTTTATATGATTTATATGTGTTTATGGTGGGTAACAGGAAGCAACAAACCCACCCGGCGGGCACCATCCTTGTAGAGAAGGGAGGTGGACAGTCTTGGAAGGTTTCTTGGAAAGCCTTCGTTTTATTGCTTGGTAAAATCCAAAGTTTTGTTGGCTGAAACAAACTAATTTTGTATAGGCAATGGATCCAAATAGTAAACTAATCTCAGAAAATTGGTCTAAATTCACTATTTTTCTCCGATTAGTTTATATAAACTCCAAAATGAACGGTTTCGCTTCATTTACGTATCATTTTTGCTGTACCACGATTTTGACCCATGGTTTCGGGCAAATCACAGGAACTAAAAATGGTGTGTTGATAGCTAAGCTAGTGGTGTGGATAGCTCAACGACCATTCGCCAATTTTGATAGGATATTCATGGGATATTAATTGGTAGTTTAATAGACGCCCCAGCCAGCAATTCTCGCAAATTGCAAAGAAAACACATCAGAGTCATGCCGTGCGAGGCTTTAAGATTACTCGAATCCGGAACTTCTACATGCGAAAGGCAGCAGAGTCTGCATGGAGCCACTGTTCCCAGCTTTGGTGGGTCAAATATTAAAGCCACTGTGAACCAATGTATCAACAGAGAAAATATCCCATGTTCGTAAGGGGGATTGGAACCAAGAATGGAATGGATTAAGAGTTGCTATACCTTGTCACTTGTATAGTGTTTATTGATTTTTATTGACATCGATTTCACAACTGGTTCTGGTACTGTTGATCCATACAGCAGCAGAGCATTTTGATGCTGGGAGAGTGAAGGTTTGGGTGAAGCTGCGAAGACTTGCAATGCTTATCCAAAAAAAACCATTGAATCTTGGTAAATGATAACGACCTCACTGCGACCGAAGCCTGGAATGATGGTTAGGATTCGGGAAATTGTGTCGAAATGGCTGCAAATTTCAACCCAGATTGATGAACTCCATTGAGTGAACAAGACCAAAACATGTATCAGCTATTGTCCGGGAATCACAGATTGTTTGACAGAATATCTCCCATGGATAGATGATGCTCCCAGCTAGAAACCTCCATCGATTGTTCGGGGATCTCCCATTGCCATGTTTGATGACCGACGGGTAGTTACTGTGGTTGGTTTGTAGCTTGATTTCCCACAACTGGTTACCGCACTTCCAACCAGATATATGGTGCTTTCCCCAGTTCCAACCAAAAATGTTATGTAGGGTTTCTTCAAGGAAACCATGGCTATTTCTGATGATTTTTGTTGTTCCAGGCACTCATCCACTATATTCCCTGCATCTGGAAACTATCGACGGGAATGGTTCTCTGTCCTGCCACCAGAAGATGTTGAGCCCATGTGCTCTGACATCGCCGGGCTTTTGGTATGTCATTGGACACCATGTTGTTGCTGTTTTCTTGTTTGCTCTTGGCTTTTAATCATGATACATATAGTCCATATGTGTGCATTGCATCAGATCTTATATGACAACAGACACATGTGAAGCGCAACATATGATATCGTATATGCATATGTGTGAGATAAATGCTCCGTTTTGCAGTTTTTCCAAGTTGTCTCACCTCACAGTGAGACACCACCGTGCAGAACGGGTGCAGGTGAAGTTCTGTCAGACGAGTTACAACGAGAAATTCTCCAAAATCCTCGAAGAGTTCGGCAAACTCAGAGAATTGCGGGCTGGATTTAGTGATGGAAATTTGGTGTGCAAAGTGATCAGTTGATTTTGTTGTATTTTGTTGTACCCTATGTTCAGACTTAAATCCAGGTGATTGTGAAATTGCCCCGGTTCAGGGGTAAATCTACAAGAAAGGATTTGACAATGGCACATTAAGAGCTTCGCATTTGTTTAAATGACATGTCAATTCCTCTTCGATCATCAAAAAATGGCAATGGGAGATCCCCTGAACATGGGGGTTTTAATGCCAGAGTCATCTCTATAGATGGTGAATTTTCCATTGCTGTGTTTGATTACCGGAGTCCAGCAGGTATTTCTACAAATCATAGGATGCACAGGGACGAATGCTGCCAATCTGCTATTCTATGGCATTTTTTGCGCAAAGGAAATTCCATTGGAAGGCCCTGAAATGATGCTGTGAACTTGTATTTATTCCAATCATAGGTTTCAGAACCAAAGGAACAGGCAATCCAAAATTTGTCATGCTTAGGATGCTTTCAACTGTTGATTTTAACCTCCAAAGCATCACAAACTCCTTCTAAGTTCACACGATATCTAACTTGGTTTATAACCACGTACAGTAATTTTAAATAGTTATAAAGGGGATAAAATCTATAGTTGGATTGTGTTAATTATGAGCTAACTTATAATTCTGGTGGAGGGCATTTAATTCACTTTCCTTTGTCTCGTCAGGGTGGCCTTCATCGTCCACGTAGGTTTCCCAAGATCGATGACATCCATCCCTTCTACGCTGATCTCTGTCGGCCTGCCAGAGGGTCGACGAAGTTTTTTTGGCTCTGGAGTGGTTCAAAAAAGGGATGCTGAAAAGAGGTGGTTTCAAAGACTTGTTACACTTGTTATTGTATGTTAGTATCAACCGTAGTTGAGGGGATCATGCCAACCAACTCATATATTCTGCTGTCGGACAAAGTGCAATAACATGCAATAAACACAATTTTCCTCAGGGCGGTGAAACATGTTGAAACCGCCGGAATGAAAAGGGCAAACACTGCATTGGAATTCTAACAATTGAAAACCCACCATGGCTAGATCATGTTCCTGGCTAGATTATGTCCCGAACAGGACAGACACTCTTTTAATATCATTTTGTGTAATCCGGTAAACCCAATGCCATAAACCTACCATTTGGGGATGATTTCTAGAACCGATAAAAAATGATGACTCCACCAGCCATCCACCAAGGCAATGTGCTGTACGATCGCGATCACTTCAAACTGGCTTTGGGACAGGCCCTCTCCGGGAAGATGAGGATTTTGATCCCGTGGGGAGGGATACCCTTCAGGCCGGCCTGGTCCTTCAACCTTCATGAAACGTATCTGAACAGAATATGGTCTATTTGGCATACACGATACAGGCCACGGAGCAAATAGGAATTGGAAGACTACCTCTCTTTGAGATGTGCAATTTTTAGGGACTATGTTCCGTGGGGGACGTTTTCTTGTCGTGAGATGGCTCAGTTTCTGAAGTCAACTGTGAACATATCTTCCACGTCTGGTCTCAAGGGACTGGCTATTCTGAAACCATACACATGTGCCGGTAAAAGCCTTTGAATCAACTCATTAATTGGCAACAAGTGATACACATTGCTTGTGATCAACTGCTTCAATAGAATTTCCGGGGAGGGCTTATGATGTTTGCCATTCGAGGCCATGAAGTGGTGGATTTTCAGCTTCAAGGAAATCAAAATTAGAGTCATGTGGGGTTCAACTTCGCCCCAACAAAGGAGATGTTGGTCAATTTTTAGAATCATAGATTATCATAGATTATCATAGATTATCATAGCTGATTCATAGATGATCGTAGATTATCATAGATTATAGATGATCTCAATTCTTTTCAAAGATTATTAACTAAGATTATCATAGATGATCTCTGTTTATCTTTGTATCTATAGATTACAATAGATTATCCATAGATTATCATAGATGACTATCCTAAGATACCCCAAGTTTTGGGTCCTAAACTCATCGCTACAGTCATCGTGACCTGTTGATGACTACCCACTGCCAGGTGAACGCGTGCAAAAAGGTGGTGGACGGGATTGCCAAAGAATACGTCCCTTGGTCGATTGGTTGCCCCTGAAGTGATGGGTGAGTGTACATAGTATACATGTCCTTTTATATTGTTTATATACTTTACATAAATATGTATACTAATATACTAAAATGTGTATACTCTCTAAAACACACATATATATATATATATTATACATTATGGTGTCCAGTTCATGATATGTCATGGTTCCTCAGTTTACTGGAATTCAGTGCTAGGAAGGTTTGTGATTTTTGATACCGGCATCTCCGGGTCAGGCTCGAAGACCCAGTCTGACAAGGGTTGGTTTGTGTTGGCAATTCGCAACGAGGTGGTGCCCCAAGGAATTTGCAACAAGTTGGGATCGTCATACCTATCTATAGTACATCTATAGTAAGCTTGATGCCAATACATATATAGTACATCTACTACATCTATGTGCATATAGCCAATGGGATCATAACTCCAAGCAGCGTTGGCTTTATGATACGTCTATAGTAAGCATCCTTTCAATGCCATTGGTGGAGACTTCAGAGCCCTTAAATGTGTCATAGCCTGGTGAATGTCTTACTGTTTCCAATGGGACATTGGATCCATTTGGGAAGTCCATAGAGGATAATATCGGATATATGTTGGCTGGTGCCTCAAGCAAATCAATGGTATGTTCTCATTTTCCTACTTCATTTTGATACACATATTTGACAATTTGAATATACAGAAAACAAATCCAAAGTTGGGTTTCCGTACTTCGACTGATATCCCCTGATAGCCATAGCGAAGAGCAAATCATACCAACAGATGTCCAATGGTGGAGAGATGTACATAGAGGGATACAAGAGGAACTTGGCCTATATTCTCCACGCCAACTGTTGCCAAACAGGATGGTTTTCTCCATATACTCATACGGATCGTGAAGTGATGGATTCTAAGTGGTTATCCAACCCACTGTATGTAGGTACATGATGGCTACGATGGGGCTTGGAAGAATAGGTGATTTTACCCCTGTTGTTGTATCCACTTCACCCCCAAATGTAGCTGGGGTGGCCAGGGAGCAAACCTGATTATTAGTCGTCTCTAATGCTACGTTTATGTTCTTTGACTTCCTCTGTAGCAGTAATGCATGCATGTGCTTGTTGAGCAATAGGACTGCGTGGTTGCCACATGTTGCCACTGTTAGGTTCTGTTTCGATCAAAAAATAATACAAGATGCTGTGCATCCCTGCAAACAGATTCCTGCATGTTGGAGTCCTTTCAGCGCTGGCTAGGTCAAGATGATGAAATTTGCCGACAGCTTGTATAAGTGCAAGATGTTGAAACGTGCTGTCCGGAACCCAAGAGATGGTTGAGCAGAAGGAGCTGAACTTTAAGATATGGTAACAAACATGGTACTGACATATATGGCAATATATTAATATATGGTATTGACATAATATAGTTACATATACAGTATACAGGATACATGTATATTATATAAGTTAATAATGTTTGCCCATAGAAATGATCCCTTTCGGTTCATCAAGCCTCGCAACCCAAATTGAGAATTCCGAAATGTTGGAAGTGTAAAAACCGCACAACTGTTGTTCCATTGGTTGTTGCGTGATGTTAAGGGTATGTGTGTGCTTGGGCTGCAACAGTCCCAACTCTAACTCTAGCCTCTCAACAGGAAATTACTTCATGATGGGATGGGCTCAACATATCTCACCCCAAAAAATGCTATGGTTAGACATGAAAGGACCATGGTCCAGGTTTCTTGCCCCATTTGAGCACCCAAAAAAAGAGTGCTGAAGGTAGGTGAAACATGGTGAAACATGTTTTGCTGCTTCAATAACCCTCAGAAATCCAGGGATTTCATATCATCGATGAAACCCTCTCGAGCCTCTCGAGGCGCTCGGCCGGATGTCGACCTCTGTCAAAAAGCTCCAGGGCGCCTTGTCCTTCCTGGAAGAGGCGCTCGGTGCAAATGCTGTTGGGGCGATGAAACCATGAGGTCAAAAAAATTTGGTGCTTAAGGATGGGGTTATCAATGGAAAAAATACAGGAAAGCCGCATATTTAATGGGAACATCTATGGTTTCCGGTTTTGATTTTCCCTTAAATCAATCCATTGAGGTTATGTTTTTTTTTACTTCTGATTTGTGAATTGTATTGAATTGTCATGTTACATCCAACAGTGCATGCTCATTTCTGGTTTTGTGAATTGCAGTAATTTAATTTGCCCAGGTCAATGATAGATAATGATGGAGTATAAACGACGCAATGACGCAGCAAACCACTAGCAGTTCAGTGAGTGTGATTGTTCTAGATGGGGAGGGAGAGCCCATTCGAAACCACCAACGAGATTTATCAGAATGGGTTTTCGCGCAGAAATGGGGAATATCCTAGTAAAATCCAATTTGGACACATTTGGAACATCATCTTCAACCATCGTATTTTGGCGTAGCCTATTGGACCTTACGCCCTCAAGGGAACCATAAGCTCAGAACCAGCTTCTGTCAGGTGATATGCACGGAATTGCATGGAGATGTCATATGAAAACAATAAGCAAACCTCCAAAAATGGATGGTTACAGGATCCTACAACTGACCAGCCAGAAATTGTGGATCCATTGGTTCCTTGACTTTGACGCCTTGCCCGTGGGCCAACAGGTGAGACAACACTTGGGCCGATTGCCAGCGATCAATCCTGCAACAAGGACACTGATTCTGACAGGCGCTGCGCTGACGGATGTGTGGGTTGTAAACGTAGAAAAAGCTCTGGAAAAGACACCATGACTTACCCTCTGGTAAACTGTCACATAACTATGGAAAATCACCATTTTTAATGGGAAAACTCACTATTTCTATGGTCATTTTCAATAGCTATGTTAGTTTACCAGAGGGTAATAGGTAAATCATGCATCATGCATGAATGGGTTTTCATCCATTGTCCCTATAGCTATGTTAGTTTACTTGTAGATTTGAACTTTCAGGTTTAGTGGATGTCATTGGAAGTAATGAAGAACGACCTTACCTTCTTACCCCGTCTCGCGAAGACAGGAGATATTGCAACAAACGCCTTAGAGACTGCAGTAGCTCAATGCTGTCGTTACTGATTTTGTTGAGATGACTGCAATATCATGTGGTCTTTGTGCAAATGTGAGCCACTGTTCGATCATTCTACATACTATCGGACTATACCGTCTTTGAACCCTGCGCGTCGTGAGAGGCTACCCCAACGTTGGGAAGTCCTCTTTCATGAACATTGTCACCAATGCCAATGTGGATGTCCAGCCGTGCGCGGGGCAGTGTGAACTTCTACAATGTGTGGAACAATGTTTGGCTAATGGTGATGGTGGTGACAAACCCTTCAAGGAATTTTAAAAAAGAAGTTTGAGTGGGGCTGACTTGAGAAGGCATTACATACTCAGCATTCCTAGCTAGTTTGCACTTCAGGGCGAGAAAGACATTTAGTTTACTTGCGACTCATTCCCAAAATGCTTCCCCCTAGCCACAAATCTGCCATTAGATTAGGGCTTCAGTCTCGAGGTATGCTTTCACCACCAAGTCCCTGTTCATTGGTCATTTGGACCACAACTACGTGAAGTGGCAGGTGCGTCGCTGGGTGAGCTGAAAGACTTCTCAGCTGGTTGTTCTGAAAATGGGGCAGCCCGAAGTTGAAGGGTCAAGTCATGTGAACTATGATCCCAAAACAGCCGCAACGTTGCGGTTGGGATGTGTTTGTTTTTAAGCCAAGAGAAACAGAAACAGAAAGAAAACAACTAGAGTTGTTGAACTAAACCGCGTTTTTTTTTTGTTTGTGTTGTTGTTTTGTTAAGGAATTTGTTTGTTTCAACATATGTAATTGTATATATATACATACATAATAATTATATAATATTAATAATATATATATTAATATACATACTATATATAACTTTGAATCAAAAGCAGAAGCCTAAACCTACTGATCCAGACCTCTTTGCCACACTTCCGATGGCGCGGTTCATGAGCCGTTCTAAAAAGGCTTCATCATATGGCTATGGATCAATAGCTATAAATACCATTGATAGAGGGAAACGAAACATCCATTTACCGGCTATTTGGGTGTTCACCAGGGGTACAGCATGACGTTGACGTTGTTGAAGGTCAAGGTTCAAGGCTGTTCAACTTTCCCCACATCAGGTCCGATCAGGAATTCGCCACATGTTAACTTGACCTGTAGCAGGACGTTTGGAGGCTTATTCCATGTGTAAACCCTATGATTTCCCAGAATGAATTGCCCATTTTTTGTATATTAATGTATATATAATATTAATATATATATAATATCAATATATTATATATATAATATTGATATATCATATACATATATATATATACACATATATATATACACATATATATATACATATATATATATAAATACATATATTATACATATATATATCTTAATACATACATATATATATATAAATATAAATATCACCCATTATTATGGCATAGCATGGAGTGAGATTTTGAGAAACAAAAACAAGGGTAAAGTGACCCAGTTCGCCATAATCCAATCCCCTATTCATATTAGTGTTACTTACATTCCGGATAGGATTCTATGGGATCCAGTTCATTTTTTTGTGATCCAGTTATCCAGTTCGCTATTCATATTAGTGTCACTTACATTCTATGGCCAACAACATATATGATATATGTGTTTATCTCTACATTCCACCATGTTTTTTTTGGGGTGTAGTGGGATAGGAACGGGGGACGGAGTATATTCCCATTACATCCCATCACATCACCGTTTTAAATCTTTCTATTCCATGAAATCCTATGATATGCCCATGAAATCATTATATATTCACCATATAAATCCCATTAAACATCATTAAACCATATTTTTTTAACAAAAATCCTATGATATGCCCATTAAACATCATTGAACCATATATTCACCCCATAAAAACACACCTTTTTTGGGCGTCACCTGGCATCCAGCCAGGTGATTGATACTCCCGGCATCTTGGATCATCCTCTGGAGGAGCACGGTGACCCGATGCAGCGGAACCTCGAAACTTCCCCCATTGGAAGGCCATGAAAATTGCTGTTGAATCCGTTGAATCCCAAGTTTTTCATAGTTTATTGGTGAACAAAATGAATGTTTAATTGGATTTAAATGGTAAATGTTGGGAAAATTGGTATTATTGGTCTGGGTAAATTTCATCACGACCTCACTGTTCGACCGAAGCCTGGAATCATGGTTAATAAGAGGAATCATCCCAAAATGGCCCAACATTTCAGGTAAGTGAATTATTATAATTTGCCCAGATTGGTGAACAAAATTCATGATTAATTGGATTTAAATGGTAAATGTTGGGAAAATATTGGTATGAAAATAAATACCCTCTGGTTATGACTAACATAGCCATGGTATAGATGGTCCATAGAAATAGATGATTTCCCAGCGAACGAAACCTCCAATTTATGTTAAGGATTTTCCATGGTATTTTTATAGTTTACCCCATATGAATCATCTGGAAGATTCCCAAACAATTATAATTTATAACTGGATTATTTTGAATTATATATGAAAGGTACAAATAAACAACATTTTTTGGTGTAAATCGGAGTGCATGGTTTTCATGTGCAGAATTCGGATACTTAGTCCATTTCCATACTAGATATGGCTGATTGATATTGATCAAGTCACAAATTTGGTTCATGTTGGTTGGTGAGGTCCCTATAGTTTTGTTCATGGTTAAACCTCAATTTGGACATGGACATACAAAATAAATAGGTTGTGTTGAATAAATCACTCGCTGTGTAAAATCCAACTTTTTGTCGGCTAAACATATCCAACACAAGGTGTCATCAAACGCGGCTGGAAAATCACCCATTTAGTAGCCTTTCATTTTCCCAGCGAACGAAACCTCCATTTAGTTCGTGGAGTTCCTAGCCATGTTTGAGTGTTCACTTGTTCTCATATGGTTGATGGTGCAATGTGCCCATCTTGAAAAATGATGGAGTTCGTCAGTGGGAAGGATGACATCCCATATATCATGGAAAATAAAAAATGTTTGAAATCACAAACCAGCCATATTATACCTCAGAATCCCATTTTATCCCATGTCACCCATTGGTTATCTCACATGTTTGATGACCCGGGAGACTAGTTATATTCCCTTAATATCCCATTCAATCCTACTAGCTATAGTCATTTGAACCATTTTGCTCCGTTGAATCCCATAATTAGTTGAATGTTCCCATTAATCATTAAGACCATGGAATATTCAGGGAATATATTATTGATCTTCAGTTTTCCCATATTTTTGATGAATCCTTTGGATATCAATAATTCAGAAGCTAAATGCACTAAAGTATAGTTATATTCCTTCAATATTCATGGATCGTAGAAACTTTGGATCTCTATGGATCTCTAAACGAATAATTTAATTATTCACTTCAGAGCTAAATGAAGAGTGTTCTCTTTGGATCTCTATCTCTTCTCTACTACAATGTGAGGCCCCCCAGTGATGTTTGTTGGTTTAGATTCGCCCCAGTAACTATAGTTATAAGTAATTACCATAAACCCTAGTGAAATTGGAGTTATAAACCAACTGAACGCTATCTTGGGGGCCTCACTAATTGTATCTTTGATTCATCCACTGGAGGGTAGACAGAAGTTCCAACGGAGACACGGAGACCCGATTCGTGCACCGCACGCATCGGGAGGATCGCAACAGTATTGAGATGACCGCCATCACGGCTCTGGCGCATCTGCCGGCAGCGACTTGGCCCTTTTTTTGTGGAAAAACAAATGGAGAAACCATGGGAAACCGGAAAACACCATGAAAAATGGTGGAAAGTGGTAGAAAACCTTACATAAACATAAATGAGAGATGTGTGAACAACTGAAGTATCGATTCACAGGATTTGTTTTTGAACTACTGAACTAGTAAAACTGGCTGGTGGTTTGGAACATGTTTTTTCCATTCAGTTGGGAATGTCATCATCCCAACTGACGAACTCCATCATTTTTCGGAGGGGTAGGTACACCACCAGCCAGTATAATATATGTATATATATATATGTTAGGGTGTATAGCCATCATATGTTGAAACCACCAGCCAGAATATTATTAACCATCATGAACCATATAATAACCATATATTAACCATTATTAAGAGTATATATTAACCACAATGGTAGGTACACCACCAACCAGAAAACTACTGAATCAGTCCAACTTCAGGTTGTTTTTTTCCCGGGAAAATATGATGGCTCACGACTCACGAGGCCATCCTGTTCTTCGTGGACATTTCGGAGCATTGCGGCTTCAACTTGTCCACCCAGGCGACGACGAACTTGGGGGTCCTTTCTGTTCGTTAAACACTGGGTATATCCAACAGGAATGTATGCAATAGATTCCAATGGTACGATACATTGGTTTTACACTGAACATCAACAAACACGGATTCCACAAACATCAAATAACTATGACTATATCCACTAGGATCATCATCTTCCAGTCTTCCAGACATTTTTTTCAGGTCCCAATGTGCTTTCTTCCTGGTGTAAGTCTGGATATGATGATGTGTTGAACGGTAATCGTTACCAGGTAGGTTAACATCCACCATGATTGGAGAATCTATTGGCTCGGAGGTTTGGGATGATTTAATCAGGGGATTCACCTAGGAGGAATTTCATCAACGGAGATGGTGGTCTACCAAGTTGAAGAAATTTAGCATCGGGTAATTGTATAACTATACTAATAATATATATATATATATATACATATGTATGTATATATTATATATATATATATGTGTATTGAGCATTACTTTTTTTATATATTTGTTCATTAAGTAAATCAGTTATGGCGAATTGTCCCTATAGCTGTGAGTGGTTTAAGTGTTCTGAAGATATGAAACCATCCCATCAACTGGGAAACTCTATAGGATCAGGCGGATTCAATGGGATTTAGTGCATCTTTTATGGGATTTAGTGGGATTCAAGGCAATTACAACTAAGCAACTCTATCACTGGTTGGTGTTTTCAAACATGAAATTTATTTTCCATTTCATATATGGATATATATGAAATGTCATCCCTCCCATTGACGAAGTCCATCATTTTTCAGAGGGGTAGGTACACCACCAACCAGATGTGACGTCACAAGGTTTTCATGAAGCGATGGTTTGGCCCAACGAGGTCAGTGAATGATTAGGATTGTTTCATGTTAGTGAATTATTACACATTATGCATTAATCATGAAACAATCACAGTGAATAATTATGATTCATGAAATATTACAATCTGTATCATGATTATGCAGCAGCAATAAGACTGGATGTTGCGTTTGACGATCCAACTTGGGATGCCCTAATCGCCCTGCGGCTTGTCACATGTCAGGTGGCCCTCTTCCATTCCATCAAACCCCTCTTTCGGAATCGTCCTTTGCTCATCATCCTCAACAAGCCCCTAAGCTTAGCATATCTTAGTGCTGCGTTCTGGCGCAGCCTCTTAGTGCATTTCTGGTATAGATTGGGACAGAAACCTCATACATCCTCATACCATATCATACCCAGCTGATGTTTTTTTTTGTGCTGGGTATCTAAGATTAGTGATTAGTGTTGTCACGGGCAATTTTGGTGTAGTTGTTGCATGTTGATGGAATTGATATTATCCCATCGCAAGTCTTGTTTTGTGGGTTTGGAGGCACACCAACAATTGCGGCTCATGTTAGCAATCACAATGACCCATGGTCTTGTAAGAATGTTGGATACACGGTACATCACGGTACCATCATGCTAAACAAGACTTTTCATACTTTTTCGTTGTTAGAGGCACTTCTTCACATTTGTGCGAACTTGTGGTCTGATTAAACTTTCTTCCAAGCACACGACGTTGGCTGATTTGTGTTGGTCACTCCATGAATTAAATTATAACGACCTCAGTGTTCTCCCTCACTGGAATGATGGTGAATGTATAGGGAAATCATCCTCAAATGGCAAAACTTTTAAGCATCAGTGAATTGATCCCTGAGGACGGACCTGCGGAAGATCTCTGAGCTTTCCGCGGAGGTCCGGCTCCTTTGTGGTTCCAAATGGGCCCAGGGGTCCTCAAAACGGGAGTTGACCAACAAAAACCGTCATTTTTTTATGGGAGGTCCTGATGATTTGATGTGATTTTTTCAGATGTCCCAATGGGATTTAGCAAAGTTCTAGGGAACACTCGAATAACTGTTGAGTTTGTATAGTTATCGATATGTAGCATATTTCGCCGGGCTCGTAAACCAACGTTTTTCACCGGGGAGCACCGCCTGTGTCTGGTTGGATGATTCCACTTTGGCGAAATTATAGCACTGTCTAGCACTGTCATGTATTCCGACAAAACCCACAAAATCCCCCAGTTATAAGTTGGTTTTTAAGCCCTACCATAAACATCCATAAACCATATAATTGGAGTTATAAACCAACTGAACGCTATCTTGGGGGCCTCACATTGCACAAATCATGAAACGTATGCGACCTATGCTTGGCTGAAGAGCTTTGTGAATTTTCAGGTCATGATTTGGATGAAATGGTTGGGATTTGCGGGATGTCCCAGTGGTACTTTCCTTGGATCCCATCGAATCTGCAGCTACCCATTCCAACATTTCCTGGGCTAAGGGTCTCTGTGTTTAGCTGCCTGATTTCATAAATACCGTGGAACATCCACCAAAAGTGTGAGGACACCAAGCTAATTGCTCTAAGTACACAAGAGTTACTTAGTAGAACGCACCAGGTACAATTAATCCAACGACTAAGACTAGCTTGCAGCTTACATTGGGCAATCTGGTTGGGAGACTCGTTTTTTTTTGTTTTTCGTCCGTAGTCTGAAGACATCAAAACAGTGTCCGACTTGCCTCTGCAAAAATGCCGAGGAGTTTGAACCTAAAACATCAACCAATCAAGTGGGTAACATGTATATAAAGCATTTGATTCTAAAGTTTGTATATAGATTAGATATAACAATTATGGGTTTTGTATATTGCTTATTTACGTTGATTTCCTGCTTTGAACAACAAACTCATGGCAAATTCACACGTAGTCGTTTGCAATTTCTATGGAAGACACTAGAAATGAGATTCGGAATTATGACGATTTTTTTTCAATCAGAATAATGACAGTCTATTTTTCTTACCTTACAGCTTTTATTCTGATATGTCGTTTCCCATCACAGGAGCAGCTCTTTATCTTAAGCACCTTTTCATAAACGAAGCGAAATCCGCCAGGAGAAGCAGCTCTTAGACTCGATGGCCGAGGCAGGGATTTCACTGATGGGGGAATCGAGTTTTGATTAGAATCCCATAACATATATATATTATATATATATATACTATATAGATTATACACTATAAATATATGTTAGGGTCTATATATATATATATAGCTGTAATATTGGAATTTCAATTCTGTAGCTGTGATACACCATAGGTGTCTCATTCATAGCTGTACCATAGGGGTCAACCCTGGAGGGCGGGAGTATTTCAACACCAGGCTTTGCAGGTTACTTTAGATTGGCCATAATAATATGTGTATATATATATATTATATGTTTTACATTATATATATATATATATTCCTCAGATTTTATTATATATAATATGATGTTATAATCATTACTATTAGTTACCTGATAATACATCATCATAATATATTATAAATATATATAACATATATATATATAACATACCTTATATCATACCATATATTTCGTTATTATGTTTCTTTATTGTTTTTTTTGGCGTACCAGGGATGATGATCTTACGCCAGGTCGATTCCGGTTGCGAGGTGCATGACGGTCACGTGTTGGGTGTCTTCGTTTTTTTTTCAGTGAGTTTAACAGATTTTAAAACCCTGCCGGTTGATGATTTTAGATATTTTATATGGGATAATACGGGATTACTATATATGGGATTATATGGGATCATCATATTTTATATGGCTGATGTTGATGATTTTATATGGGATAATACGGAATAATCATAACCCATAGGATCCATGTAAGCTATATATGGTAACATTTACCAGGTTTACCATCAATATACCGTAATATACCCCCTTTATGTTAGCATATATACCATACATGGATCCTATGGGTATGGGATTATATGGGATTATAATATTTTATACGGCTGATTATCATCATGATTCTATGACTATGGATTATTATATGGAACATTATGGGACTGATGATACATGGGATTCTACTAAGCCAACAAAAAGGAATCCCTGTTGATGAGGCAGTTTGGGAAGCCACGGCCCATTTTGTTTGATGATTGAAACTATGGTGCAGTTAAGGCCCTTTACCAGTTATAAGTACTTATAACTCCATTTATTGAATGTATAATCCCATAAAAATAACAAGTTATAACTAATAAATGCCAATAACTGTGGTTTTCCAAATCGCAATCGAATCGTCTACCGTCTACGGGAATTTGGAGAGTTGGGATTTGTCCTTCAAGATTTGGGTAGGAAAATTGGAGATTTATGTCGTCCCTACATGATAAGACATGACGAGATGATGGCAATCCATTGGAACTGTAGGTGCTGCAGGTACTGCAATCAAAAAAAAATGGTGGACTAGTCGGACCGGTTAAGTTTCACCATGTTTTACCTGACATTTGGCCCATTCCACCACGATGTTTGTCTCGGGGAGGCATCATGAGACCCAGGCGGAGTACCCCCATGTGTGATGCGAAACGAATTGAAGATTTGAAGCATGCTGTTCGCACCGTTGTAAAAATTCATTGTTTCGCTTTAATTTTTAAATTGACTCAGTAGATATCCATTGAATTAGCCATGTTGTTTCCTTTCAATTCTCCTCAAATTGAATCAAATTGACCCAGTCGAAATTATACATTTAACTAGCCAATCCAATCGATTGTCTGCAAATCCCTTCAAATTGACCCAGGGTTTTGTCAAATCCCATTGGTTACATCCCATTGATTTACACATATACAACGAATAAATGTACATTTGATTACCCATAGTAATATAATATTCCCTTGATTATCTTGAGTTGTTGTTAAATCCCATTGGTTACATCACCGGTGCCCAGAGTCCCCCAGATTCCGCGGTAGGTGCATTTCTTCGAGACATCTTGCGCTAAGAAGGAAGGCGTTGATGCAGCTCTGACCAAGGCGCCAAATTCGGTAGGGCCAGTTGGTTTTATTTAAACTATGCGGGGATGTCGCAATATTTCAATTTAAATACATGGAAAGATGATGTATTTGGGGGTACCCAATTGTTTTTTGTACTTTTGCATTTTGTTTGGTGATTGTTGATAATGAGACTATACAGATGTTTTTTGTCCAGGAGAGTAAAGGTATAGAAAACACTGTGTGTTTCATTTCTTTGTTGTTTGACCATGTACAAGATTTGTTTCGATCAAATCCTAATTACTCAAATCACAGTAATCCCACCCCCATAATATTAAATGCCCCACATTTGAGGGTCCCAATATGTGATGTCATTTTGTACTGAATACCATGGTTTGCGGGGGTTTTAATATGAATGGGGGAAAGGAATTAAACGGCTTAAACGGAACTGTGTTTTTTTTGATCCTTATAGAGGGCCAGCTGTATGGTGTTCCTGTCCTGATCCCTGGCAGGGATGTGAACTTCTGCTGGATCGTCGCGTGGAGCAAAAGGCGAGCGACCGTTCTCGGGTTTCTCTGATTGGAGAGCCATGGAAAAGCCACTGGCATCCACTGGCCATGTTGGGGGAACTGCCCTTTGGAATATAGGAGAAGCAGCTAGAATCATCTAGACTTGGTGACCGTGCGCTGTTCGTTTTGCCAAGGTTTTAAGTCAAGGTGTCATTTTTTGCGTTTCCAACAAGGATCAGCTAACATAGAGTCCTCCTGGAAATTCATGGAAATTCCATCCACCCAACTAACATAGACCCTGAGAATCACTAGTTTTTTAGATCTTTTTAGAGCAATGTAGTCTTCCAACTTCTGGATTTGGCGCACGGTTTTTGGATGATTTTGGAAGATGATCAACCCATATGGGGGTTTCCATAAATGGGGGGTATCCAAAATGGTTGGTTTATATAAAATGGATGGATGATAACTAGGGGTACCCCTATTTCAGGAAACCACCTTTTTTAACCCCAAGAAAAGGAGCTCTTCCGGAAGATTTGGAAAATGATGTGCCAGGTGAAGACCGGTAAAGCTGATCAGTTCAGGCCCCGGCGGGCTTGAGAGATCCACGATGGGCGGGCTGGTGATGTATGGGCTGGTTTTAAAGTGGGGAACACAATGCCATAAGCCACCCATGACTGGAAATGGTTCATACCACCTAGAAAAATGGTGATGACTGGGCGATGGTTTATGATTGTTTTACATGTTTTTTTACCCACATTACAATGTTATAGACTTGTACAGTATATACATCTATTATACCTGTAGAATGTAGCAAAGCCAACACCATAAACTATCCCAGCAAACATGGCATTATTGGCTGGTCATGTTACATGCTCCAAGTTCTACAGCTACCCCAAAGCAGATACGGCGATGGCCCACTGGACAATTCCAGTGATCATCAACTTGAGAGCGGGGCACACACACACACATATATATATATATATATATTATTTACATATACTGTACTGGTTGGTGGTTTGGAACATGACTGGATTATGACTTTCCATATTAATTGGGAATGTCATAGTCCCAACTGACGAACTCATATTTTTCCCGAGAGCGTCTGAGCGCAGGGTTCTTCCAATAGTGGGGGTCTGTAAAGCATCTTCTCATCTTCACATCTTCTCATCTTCACATCTTCTCATCTTCACATCTTCTTATCCTCATATCTTCTCCTCATCCCTCATCTTCTCATCTTCACATCTTCTCATCTTCACATCTTCTCATCTTCACACCTTCTCATCTTCACATCTTCTCATCTTCACATCTTCTCATCTTCACATCTTCTCATCCTCACATCTTCTCCTCATCTTCTCATCTTCACATCTTCTCATCTTCACATCTTCTCATCTTCACATCTTCTCACATCTTCTCATCTCACATCTTCTCACATCTTCTCACATCTTCTCATCTTCACATCTTCTCACATCTTCTCACATCTTCTCACATCTTCTCACATCGTCTCACATCTTCTCACATCTTCTCACATCTTCTCACATCTTCTCACATCTTCTCACATCTTCTCACACCTCCACTCACATCTTCTCACATCTTCTCACATCTTCTCACATCTTCTCACATCTTCTCACATCTTCTTACATCTTCTCATATCTTCTCACATCTTCTCACATCTTCTCACATCTTCTCACATCTTCTCATCTTCACATCGTCTCATCTCACATCTTCTCCTCTTGCCCTCTTGCCCTCTTGCCCTCTCCTTCTTTTCTATTTCTCTTTTGAAGGCGGGAGCAAGGGCAGTGCCAACGAGACGGCACGAAACGCAACCCTTTCGCACGAAATGAGGGTCGAGCGTCAAAAACTGAGGTAAAATTGCGATTTTACTTGTCCCGGAGCAACCCTTTCGCACGAAATGAGGGTCGATCGTCAAAAACTGAGGTAAAATGGCGATTTTAATTGTCCCGGAATGAGGGTCGATCGTCAAAAACTGAGGTAAAATTGCGATTTTACTTGTGCAGGACTTGTCTGTGTGTAAAAGCGCCTGTGTGTAAAAAGCGTCTGTGTGTAAAAGCGTCTATGTGTAAAAGCGTCTGTGTGTAAAAGCGTCTGTGTGTAAAAGTGTCTGTGTAAAAGCGTCTGTGTGTAAAAGCGTCTGTGTGTAAAAGCGTCTGTGTGTAGAAGCGTCTGTGTGTAAAAGCGTCTGTGTGTCAAAGCGTCTGTGTCAAAGCGTCTGTGTGTAAAAGCGTCTGTGTGTAAAAGCTTCTCTGTGTAAAAGTGTTTGTGTAAAAGTGTGTTGTGTGTAAAAGCCTCTGTGTGTAAATGTGTTTGTGTGTCAAAGCGTCTGTGTGTAAAAACGTCTGTGTGTAAAAGCGTCTGTGTTAAGCGTCTGTGTGTAAAGGTCTTGTGTGTGTTTGTGTAAAAGTGTTTGTGTGTGTAAAAGCGTCTGTGGGTAAAAGCTTCTGTGTGTAAAAGCGTCTGTGTGTGTAAAAGTCTCTGTGTGTAAAAGCGTCTGTGTGTGTAAAGCGTCTGTGTGTAAAAGCTGTCTGTGTGTAAAAGTGTCTGTGTGTAAAAGCGTCTGTGTGTAAAAGCGTCTGTGTGTAAAAGCGTCTGTGTGTAAAAGCGTGTTTGTGTGTAAAAGCGTCTGTGTGTAAAAGCGTCTGTGTGAAAAAGCGTCTGTGTGTAAAAGCTTCTGTGTGTAAAAGCTTCTGTGTGTAAAAGCGTCTGTGTGTAAAAGCGTCTGTGTGCAAAGCGTCTGTGTGTAAAAGTCTCTGTGTGCAAAAGTGTTTGTGTGTAAAAGCGTCTGTGTGTAAAAGCTTCTGTGTGTAAAAGCGTCTGTGTGTAAAAGCTTCTGTGTGTAAAAGCCTCTGTGTGTGTAAAAGCGTCTGTGTGTGTCTGTGTGTAAAAGCGTCTGTGTGTCTGTGTGTAAAAGCAAAAGTCTGTGTGTAAAAGCGTCTGTGTGTAAAAGCGTCTGTGTGTAAAAGGGTCTGTGTGTAAAAAGCGTCTGTGTGTAAAAGCTTCTGTGTGTAAAAGCCCCTGTGTGTAAAAAGCGTCTGTGTGTAAAAGCGTCTGTGTGTAAAAGCGTCTGTGTGTAAAAGTGTCTGTGTGTAAAAGCGTCTGTGTGTAAAAGTGTTTGTGTGTAAAAGCGTCTGTGTGTGTAAAAGTCTCTGTGTGTAAAAAGCGTCTGTGTGTAAAAGTGTCTGTGTGTAAAAGCGTCTGTGTGTAAAAGGGTCTGTGTGTAAATGTGTTTGCGTGTGTAAAAGTCTCTGTGTGTAAAAAGCGTCTGTGTGTAAAAGCGTCTGTGTGTATAAGCGTCTGTGTGTAAAAGCGCCTGTGTGTAAAAGTGTTTGTGTAAAAGTGTTTGTGTGTAAAAACGTCTGTGTGTAAAAGCTTCTGTGTGTAAAAGCCCCTGCGTGTAAAAGCCCCTGCGTGTAAAAAGCGTCTGTGTGTAAAAGCGTCTGTGTGTAAAAGCGTCTGTGTGTAAAAGTGTCTGTGTGTAAAAGCGTCTGTGTGTAAAAGCTTCTGTGTCTGTAAAAGTCTCTGTGTGTAAAAAGCGTCTGTGTGTAAAAGTGTCTGTGTGTAAAAGTGTCTGTGTGTAAAAGGGTCTGTGTGTAAAAAGCGTCTGTGTGTAAAAAGCGTCTGGGTGTCAAAGCGTCTGTGTGTAAAAGCGTCTGTGTGTAAAAGTGTTTGTGTAAAAGCGCCTGTGTGTAAAAGCTTCTGTGTGTAAAAGCGTCTGTGTGTGTAAAAGTCTCTGTGTGTAAAAGCCTCTGTGTGTAAAAGCGTCTGTGTGTCAAAGCGTTTGTGTGTAAAAAGCGTCTGTGTGTAAAAGTGTTTGTGTAAAAGCGTCTGTGTGTAAAAGGGTCTGTGTGTAAAAGTGTTTGTGTGTAAAAGCCTCTGTGTGTAAAAGCGCCTGCGTGTAAAAAGCGTCTGTGTGTAAAAGCGTCTGTGTGTAAAAGCGTCTGTGTTTAAAAGAGCCTGTGTGTAAAAAGCGTGTCTCCGTACTAACAACAGAAGACTCTGCTCCTCTACGCTCTCGGGCCATCCGTCGTCTAGTTTCAGAGGGGTTGACACCACCAACCAGTATTATGTACATATAATATATCATATACGTGTATATATTTTTTGTAAATATATGTGCAGTCGCAGAACTTGGACATACTTGGGCTTGAATGAACTTACACCAGCTCTATGGATCATTTATCCCTGAAATTCTTTGCTTCTGGGTCGACCAGTTTGGTGTACATTATGTACGTTATCTTCTCTTCTAGATAGCTCCCGAGTTGGTTTTCAAACCATTTAAATCCACAAAAAGGTTCATGGAAGTTAAAGTGCGGCCCCCCAAACCAATTATGGCATTATTAAGGGCTTATTTATCACCATGAATCAGTTCCCCATTGTTGAGGGGAAAAACCTTTGGGAAGTACTCTGTACCTCAAACTTGCATGAAATATACCGTGCTTGGTCTCCAGAGCTTCTACCCACGAAATCTCGAAAGGAACCTCAAGAAATCTGGAATTTCTTGGAATTCTTTTGGAATATCAACTACAGTAAATCTGCATGGTGTTTTTGTTTTATGTTTTTGGATGTGTTTTTTCATGTTTTTCAGCCATCGATGATTCAGGAGCCGGTTGCACATCACCAACGTCACTCCACCTGCCAATCGACCGCGGCTTGGCCCGAGCGAAAGGTGTTGTTTTGTTGGAAAAAATGGGATTTGACCACCAAAGACTGGGAAATCACCAGCAGACAACCTGGAATTCTAGCAACAAGTGGGAGTTTTCATGATTTTTCCTCAGTGTGAGAGATTTGCTGGTGGTTTCAAACATGTTTTTTTTCCATATGGGATGTCATCCTTCCCATTGACGATCTCATTTTTGTTCAAGATGGTTAAAACCACCAACCAGTTGTAGCCTGTCGTGCGCATGGTGTTTTCCTGATTTTTTCTTGCTCACCTTCTCAGATGAGGCCAAGGAAAATCGCCAAACGTAGCGTCCAGACCCGGAATGATGACTTTTGACAGCCCAGGCTGACTCGCAGAACTTGTATATATATATACATATACATAATAATTATATATATATATATATATTATACACAGTTATTATTATGTTTCTTCTTTACATTGTGTTATATTATATATTATATTATATTATATTATTATTACTATTATTATTATCGTTTAGTATTGTTATATTATTATTAATGTTTTTTCTTTAATATTAGTTACTGTTATTTTATGGTCAACAATGAAATGGGTTGCATTGAGAGAGATTCCACAAACAGAATTCGGAAAAGAGTGATTTGCCCTTACCTCCCTTTGAGGTAGCTTTCCTACCGGGGCATTTGCAAGACCTGCAGACAGTGTGCATGACTTGCAAGTGGGACTGCCAGCTACATAAGGTGGTCAACTCAATGATAAGCCCAAAGGTTAAACTTTATGCAAAGACTCCGAAATGGTATGTGGTCCGCCCGGTCGAAATGTTTTCTTGGGGGTGTCTACCACATTCATAGATAATTACAGTAGCCCTCATGATGGTGGTGACTTTTGCGGGCCGCGCATCGGGTGTGTCTGAAAACAGGGTATTCCCATTCCATTGTGTTCGAACTAATTGTCCCAAATATTCATTACCAATTAGGGGTAGATCCCTTTATACCTATTTTACCACACACCTAAACCATCAAAACATATCAAGTTGGTGAACCACATTCCCTGAAATATTCCATATCCAAGTTATATCCCACCAGAAACTCATCACATTTCATATCCGATAACACATACCCTATGGTTATTAAACATAGCTATGGTAAATCTACATTTCAAAAAAAAGGTAAATATATAGGTTAATCAGTTATAACTGATCCATTTTCCATAGCTATATCTAGCTATTAAATAACCATAGGGTATTTAAATCATACATTATATATATAAAACGGGCTAGCGCCCGGGTGCCGCCGACCCCTCCTTCTTTGGGACACAACGCTATTATGTTAGGTTTACTAGAGGTGGTCATGCTTAATGTGGGGTCAAAGTGCCATGGGTCGTGTGCATGCAATACGCGATCGATGGTTCAAAGCAACATTGTGACACAGCACCTCTTCACATGTTTGTTTCCTTGACCACGATCCTTCCCAGTGCGTTATATTGCGTTCGAGATTGGATTTTGGTTGTCCAGTACCTTTAATTGATTAGCAATTTGAATGCATGGTTGGGTGGGCTTGTTGGTGAAAGGGACCTTGAAAGTTTTAACATGGCATCCACTCTACGAACCTTTCCTGGATTTGACATTTCGCTACGGTTTCACCATTCTATGGGATTTCCCGTTGCACAACACGTGCAAAAAATGATGGCTTTGGGAACGCTCGCAGGGGTCCCAGATGTGCTGTGACAGGAACTTATTTTGCTTCAGACCAGATACTGTACATCAAACAAATGGTTGACGCCGCAGAAGCATGCCTAAGTATGGTGTTCTTCTTGTCTTTTGATGTTGATCAGGTCAATAGGAAACTTGGCTATTATGTCCTTGTTTTTTCCTGATATCTAGTGCAGCACATCTGAAAAGAAATTTGATGCTATCAAATGACCGCAGAATTGTGGAATAGTTAGTCATTGAGACAAGGGACCAAGTTTGAAGTCAACGATGCTATCAAATGACCGCAGAATTGTGGAATAGTTAGTCATTGAGACAAGGGACCAAGTTTGAAGTCAACGAGATTGGTGGGGCTGTTTAACATGGTCACAGAAGAGCGGTTGTCAATCTCTCGTCACTGCTCAGCGTCAGCCTCTGTTCAGCATGTTGGACTGGCAAACGGCAGGCTTGGACGCCCATAAGAAGACATTGATGTGTGGCCTTGGAGTGCCTGTTGGCTGCAGGATGAAGCATGCCAAGGTTCCCTTGTGTTTAAGGCCTGGCAAACGGCAGGCTTGGACCCCCCATGACGGGTTGTAAGGGTTTTAAGGGTTTTAAGCGTTTGGATGGTTTTTAAGCGTTTAAGGGCTGGCAAACGGCAGGCTTGGACGCCCATAAGAAGACATTGATGTGTGCGCCTTGCGGTGCCTGTTGGCCGCAGGATGAAGCATGCCTTGGTTCCCTTGTGCTTAAGGACTGGCAAACGGCAGGCTTGGACCCCCCATGACGGGTTGTAAGGGTTTTAAGGGTTTTAAGCGTTTGGAGGGTTTTTAAGCGTTTAAGGGCTGGCAAACGGCAGGCTTGGACGCCCATAAGAAGACATTGATGTGTGACCTTGGAGTGCCTGTTGGCTGCAGGATGAAGCATGCCAAGGTTCCCTTGTGTTTAAGGCCTGGCAAACGGCAGGCTTGGACCCCCCATGACGGTTTTAAGGGTTTTAAGCGCTTGGATGGTTTTTAAGCGTTTAAGGGCTGGCAAACGGCAGGCTTGGACGCCCATAAGAAGACATTGATGTGTGCCTTGGAGTGCCTGTTGGCTTTGCAGGAGAAGCATGCAAGGTTCCCTTTTCAGGCCAGAACGGCGATGTGCGGTTGTTAGATACTTGGGTCTTGCCGGTGTTACGTCCTGGCAAACGGGGACGGCTTGGACCGCCCCATGACGGGTTTTAAGGTTTTTAAGGGTTTTAAGCGTTTGAAGGGTTTTAAGAGTTTAAGGGCTGGCAAACGGCAGGCTTGGACGCCCAGAAGAAGCCATTGATGTGTAGCCTTGGGGTGCCTGTTGGCTGCAGGATGAAGGGCCAAGGTTACCTTGTGTTTAAGGCGATGGCAAAAAGGCAGGTTGGACACCCCATGACGGGTTGTAAGGGTTTTAAGGGTTTTAAGCGTTTGGAGGGTTTTGAAGCGTTTAAGGGCTGGCAAACGGCAGGCTTGGACGCCCGTAAGAAGACATTGATGTGTGGCCTTGGAGTGCCTGTTGGCTGCAGGATGAAGCATGCCAAGGTTCCCTTGTGTTTAAGGCCTGGCAAACGGCAGGCTTGGACCCCCCATGACGGGTTGTAAGGGTTTTAAGGGTTTTAAGCGTTTGGAGGGTTTTTAAGCGTTTAAGGGCTGGCAAACGGCAGGCTTGGACGCCCATAAGAAGACATTGATGTGTGGTGTGGCCTTGGGGTGCCTGTTGGCTGCAGGATGCAGCATGGCAAACGGCAGGCTTGGACCCCCCAGGACGTGGCAAAGGGCAGGCTTGGACGCCCATAAGGAGAAAGAAGACATTGATGTGTCGCCTTGCGGTGCCTGTTGGCCGCAGGATGAAGCATGCCTTGGTTCCCTTGTGCTTAAGGACTGGCAAACGGCAGGCTTGGACCCCCCATGACGGGTTGTAAGGGTTTTAAGGGTTTTAAGCGTTTGGAGGGTTTTTAAGCGTTTAAGGGCCGGCAAACGGCAGGCTTGGACGCCCATAAGAAGACATTGATGTGTGGCCTTGGAGTGCCTGTTGGCTGCAGGATGAAGCATGCCAAGGTTCCCTTGTGTTTAAGGCCTGGCAAACGGCAGGCTTGGACCCCCCATGACGGGTTGTAAGGGTTTTAAGGGTTTTAAGCGTTTGGAGGGGTTTTAAGCGTTTAAGGGCTGGCAAACGGCAGGCTTGGACGCCCATAAGAAGACATTGATGTGTGGCCTTGGAGTGCCTGTTGGCTGCAGGATGAAGCATGCCAAGGTTCCCTTGTGTTTAAGGACTGGCAAACGGCAGGCTTGGACCCCCATGACGGGTTGTAAGGGTTTTAAGGGTTTTAAGCGTTTGGAGGGTTTTTAAGCGTTTAAGGGCTGGCAAACGGCAGGCTTGGACGCCCATAAGAAGACATTGATGTGTGACCTTGGAGTGCCTGTTGGCTGCAGGATGAAGCATGCCAAGGTTCCCTTGTGTTTAAGGCCTGGCAAACGGCAGGCTTGGACCCCCCATGACGGGTTGTAAGGGCTTTAAGGGTTTTAAGCGCTTGGATGGTTTTTAAGCGTTTAAGGGCTGGCAAACGGCAGGCTTGGACGCCCATAAGAAGACATTGATGTGTGGTGTGGCCTTGGGGTGCCTGTTGGCTGCAGGATGCAGCATGGCAAACGGCAGGCTTGGACCCCCAGGACGTGGCAAAGGGCAGGCTTGGACGCCCATAAGGAGAAAGAAGACATTGATGTGTCGCCTTGCGGTGCCTGTTGGCTGCAGGATGAAGCTTGCCAAGGGAATGTTTAAGCGATGGCTTTTAAGGGCTGGCAAGTGGCCTTGGAAAGCTAAGAAGGAGAAGTTCCACACCTGCGGTGGTCCCAGGCGCCGCCCCTGCCTTGGCCAAGGCCGGGGTCGGCGGATATACATATGATTATATGTTTAATCATATTTAAATATAAGCATATATATATATATAATCATACTATGTGTATAATCATACTATATATATATGTACATATATTATATATAATCATATAGTTTATTATATATATATACTCATATATTATATATATACAATATTGTATTATATATATATATATATATGTAGCTCCACAGTCCTCCCATTTTCCCCAGCCCCTCGATGCCAAGGCCTTGCATTCCTGGCTCTGTGTTGAAACAGCGTCAGGGAGAACAGTTGGGGCCCCAGGTGACACAGGTGACACGGTGACATGACACGTGTTTGATGGTGATCTTCTGAACATGGTCTATATAATATCTGGGTAAATTTCATCACGACCTCACTGCGACCTCACTGGAAATCATAGTTAGGAT